GAGTCACCAACAATTAAAGTTTTTATACCTTCCTTGTCAGCCCTGTCCCTGACTGTACTAACGTCCAATTCGTCTATCAAGGGACTGAAAGAGTTGGCCCCTAAGTCTCTTTCACAAGTCGACTTCTCTATGTTGATGTTGTTAAGGCTGTATACATTATAAGTATTTGTTCTTCCAATATTAAGTACGCTGCACTTGCTGGTGTTGAATTTCATTTGCCATTTTTCTGACCACTCCTGCAGTTTATTTAAATGAAGGGTACCCAAGTTTTTGTGCAATGAACTGAATGTGTTGCAGTTCTTCTTCAATAAATTCAGGGTCATAAATACGTAAACATCTCAAAAACTAGCAGAAAAACTTACATTTTGGTAGGTTCATAGTGACTCGATAAAAAATGCATGAAACTATCTACCTGTGTAGGCTTTCTGTACACCTTAAATATATAGTTATGACCATTTCTCATGACAAATATATCAAGAAAGAGAAGGGATCCATTTATCTCTCTTTCAATTTTGAAGGTAATACTAGGGACAAAATAATTAAGCTTGTCTAACAATTCCATTGGGTCACTGTTTCTAGTCCATAGACCAGGGGTGGGCAATTATTTTTGATGGAGGGCCACTTCATGAATGGTGGCACACTTCGCGGGCCACACACTTAATGTGTATTGCTGCTATGTCCACCCAACTTCCAAAATTGTCCTTTCTGTAATTAATAAGATTTTTTTTTTCTGATTGCCAAATGCACTGGCGGGCCACAGAAATAATTTGGAGGTCCAAATGTGGCCCGCGGGCCGTACTTTGCCCACCCCTGCCATAGACAAAGCACATCATCTACATATCTATACCATGGAGGAATAAGGTCCCCTATATTGGGTAGTAATCTAGCCTCATAAAACTCCATGGAAATGCAGTAACGCATAACGCTATCAATTTGATAAATGTATCATATTCAATAGTTAAATCTAACAGAGGCAACTTATCTTTAAGGAGTGAAAGTAGGTCATTCACTGGTACTCTAGTGAAAAGTGAATTTACATCAAAACTTATTAATTCACATGGTTCATGGTTCATTCTACTCAAACTAGGCAGAGGAACAATAATCACCCCATAGATTGGGAAAACAGTTTAAAAGTGTATAAATCATCATGTGTCACAGAAAAACTTCTAGTTGAAGCAAGTTTGATTAGAGAACTGTATTCTATAAACTTTAGGGATTGTCAGTACAAACTGATAATATGATACACAAATTTATTTGTCAGTGGCCCAAGGTTAAAAGTGCTTTAAAAGCATGTAAGGTAGATGTATGATAGATGATTAGTGGGTCTCATATTTTTTACCTGACGTGACATGACTAGTTATGTCGCCTTTTCTTATAATCTCTTCTTATGTTTGCCGTGTGGTTGGTGTGTGGATTAGTGGATCTCTGTTTTTAGGACCTGACCTCATGTTATATAAGGTCACCCTATGTACATAGGCTCTCTCTCAGTATTTGTAATTCAGTTGCCTCTGAAGATGTCTTAAATACCGTAAAGACGAAAACTAAGGTTCTCCATTGTTTCCTTTTTCCCTGTGTGATTTTATCGATATATATATACAGTATATATATATATATATATATATATATATATATATATATATATATATATATATATATATATATATATATATATATATATATATATATATATATATATATATATATATATATATATATATATGCAAGTAAATCACTGTAGGTGCGCGTGATCTAGGTAGTAGGTAGTAGGCAATACATATTGCAAGCGCAATATGGCAGACACTGCTGCCATGCGGCATCACGAAAATTGTGACCCAAGTCCCAGGTTGCTGATCTGACTTTCTGTCTCATTTACACACAATTGCAGGGTCTTAATTGTTTCTCTTACTTTAACAACAACATACAATGCATAATATCGATATCACTTTTTTTTTTTCATTTTGTATTTATTTATTATTTTTATTATTATGTAAAAAAATCAAGAACGGAGTCCTTCCGTAACCTGGGGAAACGTCTCTCTCTCTCTCGCAAAATACCGTAATCTAGACTAAAAAAACTCCATATAAATACAGGCTAGAGGAGCAGAAAGACAATTACCCATGCTCATGCCAAATATTTGCATGGGTTTGTCGGTAGCGTTCCCTAGTTTCACCCAGTAGGTCGAGGGTTCGATTCCTGGCTGGTGAGGTCGTTGATTATATGTCCAAAGTCCGCGTGCTATATGGACTAAAAATGAAGTATAAATATGGTACCTCGTGTTTCATACCAGCTGGATTCGGTAAAATGCTACTGACACCACATACGAGGCACGGGCAGTTCCCAATGAGGTTCACGGCGCCATCAGCTCGATGAACAGGCTTTGTGTGAAATATAACAGAGTCTAGGACTGCTTTTAGTGTCCTTGTGGGTTGGTCGGTAGCATTCCCTAGTCCCACCCAGTAGGTCGAGGGTTCGATTCCTGGCTGGTGAGGTCGTTGATTTTATATATATATATATATATATATATATATATATATATATATATATATATATATATATATATATATATATATATATATATATATATATATACCTTGTTATGTATTTCTCCTTAGTGTACTGACCCCTGAAGTTGTGAATTACACGAAAGCGCTTGGGAACTTCGTGTTTTCCTTTTTTAGAACATAAGAACATAAGAAAATATGGAGTCTGCAATAGGCCGGTTGGCCCGTGCATGGCAGTTCCTGTCGAGAGTTACAGCCACTCTCTATCATCCATGAATCTATCTAGCCTCCTTTTGAAACTTTCCAGAGTTCCAGCACAAACTACAAAGTTCCTAAGCTTGTTCCACTCGTCCACCACCCTATTTGTGAACCAGTTCCTTCCTATCTCCCTCCTAAACCTAAACTTATCCAACTTAAATCCGTTGCTCCGAGTCCTATCCTGCTCGGATATTATAAGAACATTATATCCCCTTTATTGATTCCTTTCACCCACTTAAATACCTCTATCATATCTCCCCGCACTCTTTATCTTTCTAGGGAATGCAAGTTAAGTTTCTTTAACCTATCCTGATATGGAAGGTTTCTAAGTCCCAGAATCATTTTCGTCATTCTTCGCTGCACCGACTCTAGTGAATTGATATCCATTCTATAATAAGGGCACCAGAACTGAACCGCATAATCGAGGTGCGGCCTGACTAGCGCAAGATATAGTTGCAATAAGACCTCTGCACTCTTATTACTTACACTTCTAGATATAAAACCCAATACTCTGTTTGCCTTATTTCGAACATTAACGCACTGTTTTCTAGGCCGTAGGTCCGGGCTTACAAGTACCCCTAGGTCTCTTTCACAAGTCGAATTTCATTTGCCATATATATATATATATATATATATATATATATATATATATATATATATATATATATATTATTTACCTTTAGTGAGAACGCTGGCGGTTTGTCCCTGGTCTCTCTCTCTCTCTCTCTCTCTCTCTCTCTCTCTAAAGTCGTATCAAGTTAATCCATATTTATATTGTTTTCACTCTTACAAAGAATCACAAATAATTAAAAATTTTCTAATGTACCCTTACGGGCTCCATAATATGGTTCCGCGCGAACTACAGTTTGGTGACCACGGCTCTTAGCCAATCAGCAATCGTCTCTAAATTCTTTTTGATTGTAGAGTTGTAGTTATGATTTATTTACAATCTACGTGTGGTTTGTGACTATTTTACTTTTTATTTTTATCTTCTTCACCACTGATCGGCTCATTAACGGCATCGGTGGTCGGTCACGTTTCTGATACGCACTGTTGGCAAGTATTGGGCATGAACTGGCTCCTGAATGTCTCTGAACCTGCTCCAGTGTTGGTCAAGTCTTGTCTTGAAAGAGCTCTCACTCGGTGCCGTCACAACACTCTCTAGCAGGTTGTTTCAACAGTTCATAATTTTCACTACGAAGAAAGTTTGCTCTCGCAGTTTTCTGGGCTTCTTCAACCTTGAGCTGTGATCCATTGTGGGGCGGGCGTCCACCAGCTCCAGGTATGGACACTCAACTGAGTAATGCCCTCTGAGATGTTTATACACTTCGATTAGGTCGCCCCTTTCCCGTCTGTAGTTTAAGCTAGGCAGTTGCAAGCGCTCTAATCTCTCTGGATAACTGAGGTGCCGAAATACAGGCACCAGTCTGGTGATCTTACTTTGGAATTTTTCAATCAACTGACAGACTCTAGCTTGTCTCGGGGACCAGACGGGAATGACAGTACAACTTTAAAAGGCGTTTTTATATGTGTATATTTGACCAGATACATGAATAAAAAGTTAATATACTATAGCTTTCTTTACTGATGATAAGTTAATCTATTCTACTGTATCATAGTAGAAATCGAAATGCAGTTCAGGCAATAAGTACAGCCAGGTGCAGGTACAGGTAATGAGTACAGCCAGGTACAGGTACAGATAATGAGAAGGCTAGGTACGGGTACAGAAGATATTCTTAACATGAGACCGAGGGAGAGGTCGCTGAAAAAGACACATGAACCCAAAGAGACAAATATAATCCTTAAACACATAGGACCTAGGGAGAGAGCCAAATGGAACTCTTAGGGACAAATATAACCCTTAAACACATAGGACCTAGGGAGAGAGCCAAATGGAACTCTTAGAGACAAATAGAACCCTGAATCACATATCGAACCCAGAGAGAAACACACAGAACCCTGAGATACACATAGAACCCTGAAACACACATAGGACCAAGAGAAAGAGACAAATAGAACTTTGAAACACACATAGGACCCAGATAGAGATAAATGGAACCCTGAGAGACACACATAGAACCCTTAAACACACATAGGAGCCAGAAATGGATTAATGGAACCCTGAGAGACACACATAGAACCCTTAAACACACATAGGAGCCAGAAATGGATAAATGGAACCATGAGAGACACACAGAACCCTGAAATATACATAAGACTCTGCCGAAGACCTTTTCTTACCTCATAGTAAGCTAGAAAACCCTTGGCATCAGTGTAGGGTCCTGGTTTGCCTCCACCCTCCCACTTCTTCACAGGGGCCCTCAGTCCATTGCTTTTTTTGCTGCCCAGGGTGAAAGTCCTGCCGTAGAAGGGTACTCCCACGATTAACTTGTCCTTAGGGCAACCTCTATCCACCCAAAGTTTGAGCCCGTCATTCTGCGAGGCAAGGAGAGGCTTACGTCACTCAGGGAGAGTTTGTGTTCGAAAAGCTTGGATAGATAGAAAGATAGATAGATAGATAGATAGAAGGTTCCGGAAGGAGAGAAGGAAAGATAAATAGATATACAGAATGAGAGAGAAAGAGGGCGAGATATGTAAAAGGAAGAAATAGATAGATGATCGTAATAGATAGGAGGGATCGGGAAGGATAAGTAAGTTGATATAGAGGAAGGGAGAGAGGGGGGAGAGAGAGAGCTAAATGACGAGTGGCAGCTGTATAGCTTGAAAGTTAGCGAAAGAGAAGAGAAGAGTTGTGAGAAAAAAATTTACCTTTATTCAGTTTTTTATGTAGGAAATATTTAAATACTTTATTAACAAAATAAAAAAGTAAAATGATAATGCCTCAACATTTCTATACGAGAGATTATTGAAAAAATAATCACTATACAGTTTTGAAAAGTTACTTTGTTTAGTAAAAGTATATATATTGTGTAGCAGTATACAACTTCTTGTTGAGGGGTCATGTACAGTATAAACAAAATGGTACTGAGATTTCACTAGGATTTTACCATAAGTAGAAACATTATCTTAACCACATTAATATATCTTCTATATATATATTAATTTTATCCACTGACAGTATTACGAATATTAATTTAGGTAGAGTCTGAATATAATTTGGATGCCATTGTGGATTTAATTTTTGGGACCACGTGACGATTAGGCACCTTAGTTCATTTCACTTAATGATTAAACATCCTAACGTTACATGGGGTGGATGGGGGTTAAATTAGTTTAGGTTAAATTAGGATGCGTTAGGTTAGAGTGATTAATCTTAAGTGATTTAAGCTGAGAGCTGATCTCTAAGTCTCCCAGTGCTTAAGCATGGGGGCGGGGAGGATACTGCCGTCCCCTGGCCAACGTTGTTGAGGGACCAAAAAGGCTACAGGACCTCTGACACCATAGGCACTGTTCAGGCGAGCCAATTTTTGTGCTCTAATTTAAGTCACTCAGTTTAATGCATTCGTATATCATCACCAGTTACGTGGAAACATCAGTTGTAGGAATTCTTTGAGATTTGAAATCTTTGCCAACACACTTACCACATTGAGGGTCTCATACGCAAACTGGTCAAATGGGCGAGGGTAGAGTGGGGAGTGGATGTCTGCGAACCCAGCCCAGTTACCTCTCAGATCATAGGTCATAGCGTGGACGGCGTCGACGTAACTAGGTCAAAGAGCAAGGATAATGTTAACTGAGGGTATACAAGAGGGGAAAGATGTGAGCAAGAGAGTGGAAGAAAGAACAAGATGGAAAAGAGGGCAAGAGGAATAAGTACAAATGGGAAAGTAAGGAAAGCAATTGGACAAAAGAGTTTACGAAAAGATATATAAAAGGGGCAATAAAAGGGGAATGAAAAATATGCAGAAGAGCGTAAAAGAGAGACAGAGAAATAACAAAGATAAAAAATGTAATTGGTTGGCAGAAAATCGAATCCACATAATCAAGTTAAAGCGATTTTGGGTCGTGTATTTGAATGTTAATCTATTTCTATATTCACACAGTTACCTCTACGTATATAAGTAATCAAATTAATGTCTCGTATCAATCATTCTACACGTACATAACATATTTACCTAAAGGAGATAGTTAAAACGAATGCAAATGATGAAAGGTGAATCAATAATAGAATATAAAATCATGATGTCTAAATAATAGAATACAGAAGTAATAAATAGTACACCCATAAATAGGTGTACACAGAACTAGCAGAATTACACCTGTCTAAGCTACCCCAAACCTGTCTAAGCTACCCCACACCTGTCTAAGCTACCCCACACCTGTCTAAGCTACCCCTTACCTATCTAAGCTACCCCATACCTATCTAAGCTACCCCACACCTGCTTAAGCTACCCCACACCTGTATAAGCTACTTCACACCTGCTTAAGCTACCCCACACCTATCTAAGCTACCCCACACCTGCTTAAGCTACCCCACACCTGCCTAAACTATCCCATACCTGTATAAGCTACTTCACACCTGCCTAAGCTACCCTACACCTGTCTAAGCTACCTCACACTTGCCTAAGCTACCCCACACCTGTCTTAGCTACCTCACACTTGCCTAAGCTACCCCACACTAGCTTAAGCTACCCCACACCTGCATAAGCTACTTCACACCTGCCTAAGCTACTCCATACCTTCCGAAGCTACCCCACACTTATCTAAGTTACCCTACAATTGACTAAGCTACCCCACACCAGCCTAAGCTGCTTCACACCTGCATAAGCTACTCCACACCTGCATAAGCTACTGCACACATGCCTAAGCTACCTCATACATGCCTAAGCTACCCCTTACCTGCCAACATATCTGAATCTTGATTTTGGATCGTACCCATCATGTCAAGGAGTGGAAACAATCATCTTGTGATACATAAAGAGACACCTGGAGTTGTTTTTATTCTAATACTCACTAACACAGCTCTTGCACGTGATAACCCTCGCTAAGTCTGAACTTGGCGACGGGAACAGCCATGGAGATCTCCCATCCTTTCCCTTCCTTGTCGAAGGCTGCTCTCAGTTCCTTCACGAAGTCTCTGAAGGTACAGTATGTATGCTATTGTGACACCTAATAGGTGTATACGCGGACAAATTTATCAGCGCTGGAAGCTCAATAACGGACCCCTAATCTTAAATTTTATCTGTTTTACCTAGAAGATGGCGTGTAGTCACTGGAGTATTATTTGAAGAATATGTCGCTTAAAGCGGCAGTCAATTTAAATAAAAACTGCTAATGGATCAGTTTGGACACCGCATGTTGTCTAAATGGTAAATAGTCCTCCAGAGGATATGGCATTAGGGTGTGTCATAGGAAGGAAGATCAGCTAAAACTAATGGCCCATCACTTTTTTGGTAGATTTTAGTGTATATAAACAGAAAATAATTTCAGTTTCAATATTTTGCAACCTTTTGCTAGGTAAATTTTAACGTGAAATTTATCGAAAATTTAACGTACAGCTGCATTAGTGCATTACAATTAAATAGTGAACATTGCTTTCTGACTTCATTCTTTAACAACCCAACTAACAATATTTTTTCTGTTTCAAATTCTGATGCATTTATAAGTTGATAATATTTGCGATGGCTGCTTGTGTCAGGACGAGGAACCAAAAATCCAGCCATCTCAGTCACTATCTTGGGTCTGGGAGAGAGCTCCTGAAGTCGGAGTTGCCTACATTGAGATATGCTTTGAGATACGGTGTTTTAATCAGGCAAATCAGTGAAAAGAACCAAAGAACTTACACAAACAAAGACATTGCTAGTGATATGACCAAAGTTGTCTTGGCATAGTACACTCTGGCTAACGCTCAGTTCAAGCCTCCAGTCATAACAAGTCAGAAGAAGATTAGTGAGAGACTGCTAGCCAGTTGGGAAAAGGCAAGAGATATCTCTCTTGGGAGAGGAAAACTTGCAGTTAAGGACAGCTTTACAAGCAACTGACCAGTTATTTGGACATAATTACTTGTGCGCCCAATTGTTCTCTGTCCTGAGTTTGGATGCGATCGTGACTAAATCCGAGGCCCACATCTCCTGTATTTGCAAGCGTGAACTGAAGATTCCCAGATTGAACTGGCATTTGTCAGCACAGAGAGAGAAGATCAAGTAGCATAGGGGTTTCTATGATTTCTAGCCAAGATATCTGGAGTCCAAGAGACAGGAGGCTGCCACAGAGACAGAAGAGGAGAAGAGTTGCCGAGGAAAAGAGACTGAAGTTCAGGGTGAGTGCAAAAAGGCCGATGATTGGAGTTAAGCTGATTCAGAGTTTAATGACTTCCCCATGGCTGATCCGAGTGCTGACCAGGAGAATGGTGACTTTGTCCCTAACCCAGAAAATAATGATCCTAAACCTTCCAGGCATAAGATTCGAAATAGGAAAGATATCCCGAGCATAGCTCTGGCCAGCATGCGACACCACACTGGTCTCAGAGAAACTGCAGAGATAGCAACAGCTGCCTGGGTTGACGGTTGTTTGATAACACCTGATGATGTTCACCTGGTGATATATCATAACAAAGTAAGGAGAGCTCAGGAGAAACTTGTCAGTAACCTAGAAGAGGAGTTTGATAAGGGGATAAGAGAAAATGGAATCAATTGTTTGTTCTCTGATGGAGAAGGATGACACTCAAAGGTCTATGAAAGTTGGGAGATTCTCTGACAAGTTGTTCCTGCCATGGTGAAGGAGGAACACTACTCCCGCTGCAGTGAACCAGGAGGGAAGTACAGCATTTCACTCCAGAGAAAGATGACATCAGGAAACCAGCTGAGATAGTGGCAGATAACATTGTGAACTGGCTCAGAGAGAGGAACGTAGACCAGACCCTGCAGGCCAATGGAGGGGACAGCACCAACACGAACACAGGGTGGCAAGGGCGGGTCATACAGTGGATAGAGCGGAAGATTGGGAGGAAGCTGGTCTGGATTGTTTGTGACCTCCACACCAACGAGTTGCCACTCAGACATCTGATCCAGGAGCTGGATGGCAAGATTTTTTCAAACAACAGATGGTCTGGTCCTCTTGGCAAGATGCTGGACTCTGCCACTGAGTTAGAAATAAATCCGAGCTTTGAAAAAATCACAGTTGGCCCTCCACTCGTTGATCTTGCACATACTGTCAATGACGACCTGAGTACTGACCAGTACTATGGTTACATGATTTGCAGTGCCATCAAAACTGGGGTCATGCCTGATAGACTTGCTTACCTGCAGATAGGTCCAGTCTCACATTCTAGGTGGCTCACAACGGCTCTCAGGTTCTGCAGGATTTGGGTCGCTCATCATAAACTGAAAGGGAACCAGCTTCACAACCTGAGACTTATTGTCCAATTCATCGTGAGTGTCTACTTGCCAAATTGGTTCAACACCGCTGTCAAGTCATCATTGTTCTCCGAAGGTCCACAAGTATGTCTTCTTCCAGCTTGAGCTCCTGAGGAGTCAGCAAGGAAGGTTGTTCAGATTGTGGAGCAGACTGTGAGAGATCTTCCTGGTAGCTCATCCTGGGAGGCAGTTCTGCAGACAATGCCTGCAGCAAGGATGAGGAGGAGAGAAGAGGCAGTCAAAAGATCTTGATATGAGACTATGAGAGGATCTGGGCATGACGAATCAGTTGCGACGATTCCTTCAGGGTCAGGAAGACTGCTGGTCAATCTAGGCATAAGACCTCACTGATCTCTCATAGGATTCGATAACATCCAGGCTGGCAGTGGTTCTCTCACCTGGCAGCCTCACCAATGTTCAAGTCAGAGCTTTCCCTGACAACCTCATGCATGTCCCTGCCTGGCCCCGCACACCCAGGTATAGAGCGCGTTGTACAGCAAGTGAGCGAGGCCAGCAGTCACGTACAGCCAGGAGAGGGAGGGGAAGGCTACATCCGAGCTCAGGTGGTCAGCAGGGAGGTGATGAGTAGAAACAAAGCAAGAAAGATATGTTCTATGGTGTGCAGCAACACCGGTCGTAGTAGTAAAACCGGTTTTATTTGGATGATTTTGTTTTCTAAAGAATATTAAATTTTAATAAATGTGTCAAGATCATTCGTTTACTATTCTGGATCATTTTCTATCCTAATAAATTAACCTGATACATTTACTTTACTTTAAATAAGCTATTTAGTGGTGTTGGTAAAAGGGTGGAATACTGGAATTTTCATAAGATTTCAAGTTACAATTTACCTAGCAAAAAATAAAAACTTTCAAATCTGAAGATATCACATGATTCTGGCACTATAGAACTATATCATTAGTCATATGGGCCAATTTTTCAAACTCAAAAAAAAAAATCATTCTCGTGATGACACACACCTTAATATGGCATTAACGTGCTTATTTTAAAAAGTAAGTCATCAGAATAACAGGACTGCATCTGGTGATGATGGCATCGCAAGAAACCGAATGACTCACCTAAAGGCTTTTTGTCACTGTAGGTTCCACCACGTCGGTGGCCCCTGGATACTCCCGTGTCCAAGTCGAAGCCGTCAAACTGAAGCGGTTCATGTATTCTGTATCCACAGGAGAAGATTAGAAAATGACTCTTACATAATAAAAATAAGAGGAGTTATAGGATAAAAGTGGTACTTTGTATACTAATTAGATTTTAGTAGCTGCGAGCTATAACTGTACCGTAGCTCATTTCAAAATCGAACTATATAACATTTAATTTTATGAAAGGGTTTTTTGGTAGTCCTTAAATATCTGTGTTTTGTCACTAATTAAAAAATCGCTGTGACTGGTAAGTCACATCTGGTCATCCCAGAGTGAAAGTAACCTTGAGAAAAATGAGCATTGAATGTAACACTAAGGCCCCAACTTCTCCCTGGGGTTGTTGGGCTCTGCTCATAGGTTAAGTCCTTCCCTTGTGTCCAAGTTTAAGATGATCACCACATCTCTACATTGTTCGGTAGATGAAGACAAGACGGGAGGCAGACCATTCATGAGCAGTGCAGAGGCCTATTTTGATGTGAGTGAATTATGTGTTACAGGTTGTCAGCCAACCCTCATAAATGCACTCTCCACCATACACATCTGAATCACCCTTCACACACCCATACATAGTAACTTCAACGAAAACTGGAATGATCACTGACCAACGACGCTGGCGATGAGCGAGGTCCTTCGCGCGGGATCTGTACCATCTGGGAATACTTCCACTTCTCCCACCCTCCTATCGCTAACATCGAATTCACGTTGGGGTTGGCTTTGGCAGGTTCGTGAAGTTGGAAACCATTCTTGTCCAAATCTAACTGAAGGTTCAAAGATAAAGAGATTAATGTAGGTTCTCAGCGTAGGTTTATGTAAAAGGTTGGTGGAGATATGTGAGTGTTCACAGCCTACGTTGAAGGACTAAGAAAGTGGAGAGCTAAAATGTGTTCTTGTTACTAGTTACCGGTGGCTGAATATGGTAGGTGGATAACATACTGGTCTGACTGAAAGAAAAAGGTTTACAGTATATGGACCATCCTAGGCAGTTTCACCCTAGGACAAAAATTTTCATGTTCATAAATAAATTATTAATTAAAAACTTGTGTTCATGACTTAGCAAAATAGTTCTAAAGTCTGATATATATTAACAAATAATGATTACAGTAATATACATGAGTAAGGGATCTCTCACCTCAGGATCGAGCACTAAGATCTCCCAGGTTACATTGGAGACACCGACGAAAGAGTAAACAATGTGTACACTTTTCGACAGGGATGTCGCTGATGCCGTAGCTGCCGAGTCCAGGTCTGTATATGGCCCAGTTGGAGAAGTAGCAGACGATACGCGCCTTCCTATTCATGGTGTACAGCTACGCACCATCACGCTCATCACTGCCACGCCCAACCACCACGTCCGTGCCATACTGAAACAAGAAGTAGTAACTTATTACGGATACTGTAGTGGCACAAGTACTTGATATGTCTCTCATGACAAAAAAATCACTCTTCCATGGTAAAAGTTTAACCAACACGAGATGAAGTACTGTACTGTAACTGGCTCCAGATGTTACCACGTTGGCCTCTGTAAACATTAACCAGCAGCATTTTTGGTTGTGTAAAGAAAATCTTCCAGGAAGGGTTAGATGAATTAAGAACTGAACACTCGTGTTGTCTCGCTAGGGCTTGTAAGCGTGATTGTGAGACATTTCCTACCTATTATGATAGGCCTATTTTAGTTATATCATTCAAAATTTTAAATTACGTAGTTCGTTGTAATATGATTGATGAATAACAGCATGCTTCATGGGGCTTTATCAAAAACCTTCGTCCGTGGTGTCAATTTGTTTCCATAAGAATTATAAAGATATCTTTTTACCGAATGTACACCATACTTTTGTAAGCATGTTTATTTTTTCTTTGTATATATATATATATATATATATATATATATATATATATATATATATATATATATATATATATATATATATATATATATATATATATATTTATATGTATATTTGTTTAATAATTCTGGTGTATTACTGGCTACATACATAAGGGTAAATGACTTCATGATCATTGTGTCAATACTCCCATGGCGTTGGAATGTGGTAAAATCTATTGAGTGTTTTAGTACAATTTATATACAATCTGATATGGATTTTACTTTAAATTTAAAAATTCCTGCCATGTTGAATACAGGTTTCAGCCCGTCGTAAAAGTGAATGTCGTACACGCTCGAATACTCCAGGTGTGTTGTGAATGATCGTGGCATTGTCTTGCACTCGGCGCAATTCCTCGCGAGTCGGGACCTCGCAGCATACACTTTACTTCTAACGTAACCCTCACAAGTAGAAGTCAAGGAGATTTAGGTCAGGTAATCGAGGCGCCAATGGTACAGGCCCTATCCACCCTGCCAGGATACCCAACATTTTGTAATTCCATTTTTACTCGAGCAAATGAGCTGGGACGCCATCACATGTACCACATCCTTATGTATGTCTCATGAATACACCCCCAGAATTATGAAACGTAATTCATATTATTAGGTTACCAAAAGGAACAAAACAAAGATACAAGAGCTTTCGTGGTTATCTACAGTCCTATATTGTTTACTTATACAATTGTTGTAAGCGACGTAAGTAGGTTAAACCAAACGGCAATTGAGGGTCAAAATTGCCGAACACCAGATCGCTCATGTGGAACAGGCATTTATTGTCCACACTGTCCCATTCAACTGGCAGAGACTAAAACAAGGCAAATGATTACTCATTATACTCAGTACCCTGTATAAACAAATCAGGTTTCACAATCCTTACCACTTGCTCCGATATGACAGAGTCACAGGGGTCTTTTGAATATTAGTAATGCGCCCCAGAGTAATAAATAATAATTCAATGTTTTATACAGTATGTTGACTTGCAGAGAGAGAGGGGAAGGGTTTATATGTAATGCAGTGTATAGTGCAGTGTAGTGTAGTTGTAGTGTAGTGTAGTAGTGTAGTGTAGTGTAGTGTAGTGTGTGGCCTTCAGGAAATCGCACCTAGAGGCAGAAGGTGACAACTATCAATTTGGATTACTTTCCTAAACTTTGTGTGTGTGTGTGTGTGTGTGGTGTGAGTAGCACACCTGCCCCTGTAGATAGCGTGTGCTGAAGTTTGTCATGGTGTGCGGCCTAAGACTGTGACCTGAAAAATGGAGGAGCACAAACTGTCAGCAACTCATACTTTTATCCTCTTCGCCACTGATCGGCCTATTTCGTTAGCTGCTTCTATGATCGGTCACGTCTCAATACTTTTCCTTTTCATTTATCTTTCTTCACCAAAAGATCGGCCCAGCCGCCCGGGCGCGATCGGTCACGTTCCTGTCACGCATTGTTGGCAACACTGGGCATGCACCGGCTCCTGAATGGTCTAAACCCGCTCCAGTGTTGGTCAAGTCTGTCTTGAAAGAGCTCACTCGGTGCCGTCACAACACCCCTCTGGTAGATTGTTAAGAGTTTATAACCCTTACTCCGAAAAAGCTTGCCTTCACAGCTTTCTTGACTTCAGGCTTTCCAATCGTGAGCTGTGACCCTTGTGGGGCGAGCGTCCGCCACCCAAGTAAGGACACTCGACTGGAGTAGTGCCCCCTGAGATGCTTATACACCTCTACTAGGTCCTCTCTTACCCGTCTGTAGTATAAGCTAGGCAGTTCAGGCACTCCACCTCTCAGGGTAGCTGAAGTGCCGAAGTGCAGGCACCAGTCTGGTGGCCCTCTCCGAACATTTTCAACCAACTGGACAGTCCTTAGCATATCTTTGGGGACCAGACGGAGGACAGTACTCCAGATGGGGAAGCACTTCTACTCCTGAAGATCGTTACTAGGGACGGACCTTCTAGATATCTGAACGACCTTCTCTTATAAGACCCAATAATTTATTTGCCTGTCATTTTTCTTCGCAACACCTGAGAACTTCAGTGCTCATTGTCAACATACATAGCTAGGTCCTTCACATTCCGTCTCAACTAGTGCAGTTTCTTCCATCCTGTTGGGACATAAGATAGGCCTCTACTGGCAATAACTTAGGTGCATCCTCTTACACCCTCGTGATATTGAATCTCAGCAGCCGTTTTCGACCATTCCTGAGCCCACAGAGGTCCTTCGCAGCCCTTTCACAGGTCCTCGGTTGGTTCTTTAATTTCCGAAATAACTTGGCGTCATCGGCAAACATATGTATGGAGGAGTGTACAACGTCATGCATGGCATTTATGAACAAACAAACAACAAAGTGGGCCCAATACACTGCTCCCCAGGTAATTCTTACACTTGTGACAGGTACGGATGACGATTTCGTACCATTCATCACCACCACACACTGCTTGCGGTCATGTAGAAAGTCTTCATCCACGCTAGACATTTCCGAATTCCGCAATTCTTCCAGTTTGATTTTCAGCGTTTCATGGGGGGTACACTGTCGAAAGTCTTTGGCAAAATCTAGGTAAATATTGTCGATATTACCACCCTGCTCTTACAGTATAAGGGGTCCAAATATCCAATACCTTGGAGCAGTTAAATAGAGCGCCCCCAAGTATAAAAACCGTGTTAAGTAACTTTTTGCTAAGGTTGTTCCATATTAGATGTTCCATTGCAGCATCTCTGATAATTTCAAGTACTTACATATTATGCTGGTCAGGCTCACCGGTCTATAGTTGTTCGTGGAGTGACGATCGCCCTTCTGAAGATAGGACCCCACATGTCAATTTTCCAATCACTGGGGACCATTTGTTCATCCAGGCCTTTACAAAATAACAGGATCTTTCAGGGGCTCTGCAAGCCTGTTGCACAACTCTCTTATGGACCTTTAGCCTGACATTTTTTTTAATACTCTGTGAACACAATGTGGGTTGTCAGTGCTGTGTCGAACCGTCTGTCCTCAAACGCAGGAAGGTTAGTTGCATCCTTCTTGTGAACACTAAGGAAAAGAAGCTGTTCAGTGCTCCTCAGCTTTATCCTGGTCAGAATCTGGGTAACTACCATCCACCAGCCTCAGGTCTGTTACTCCTACTGCAAGCTAATTTCGACTTTGCATATGGCACACCTTTTCAGCCCTTCACACTTATCTTCCTTGGTTTCTGGCTCTGCATACATCCTCCCGTCTTGCTCATCGTTTGACCCAACTCCACGTCTTGAATTTCTGTTTTCTTCTAATTTGTCGACCGCAGCATGGTTCATGTGTAGGGGTCCCTCGTATTCCTAGAAGCACTGGTTTGGTCTTAAGTATATATTTATCGATCAGCCGGGCTACTTTACTAGCTATGATATTCAGCGTAGTGTCTGCGTTCTTGTACCCACGAATCAGGCCAGTTGATACCCCTCATCTGTTCCTCATTCCATTGTAATTTCCCTTGTAATACTTGCACCTTTGGCCTGGCCTTATCCTGAACTAGGTAACAGTTAAATCTGAATGACAACACTATATGGTAACTGGTGCCAACTGGGGCAAGGTGTTCCAGTTTGGCCAAATTACCCTCCTCGTTTGTTATGATGAGGTCAAGGACTTGGGTGTTTGCTCCCTCTGTAATGTGCGTCGGCCCTAACATGTTGAACAGAAAATTTTCTCAGAGTGTCTACAAAAAGAGTAGTAGGGTTATTCGTCATTCGTGGACTGAGCTCCAGCCGATGTCGCCATAGTTAAAGTCCCCATGATAAGGAGGTATTAGAGTTGAGTGCACATGGTGTTGTTTATTAAGGTTCTAAGTTCCTTTGATTTAGTAAATACAGTTTGGGGATCTGTAGACACCCGACGATAAGTAAGTCCCTCCTTTAATTTAATTTTACACCACTTGACTCTTCAAAACATCCTTCCCTGTACCCTCGCCTGGCTGGCTCTAAGGTCTTACTAGCATAGATAAATCACACCCTCTTGCAAGCTTCTTTGGAGAACAAAGTTCGTAATGAGTCATATCCAGCAATACTCGAACTCACATCTCCTCTGGGTCGATTCTCCTGTTCTTGTACAACAGTTCCCACAACCCTAAAATATCTGGTTGGTGTACTTTCAGTAGTGTTTCAAACTCCTCTTATTGAGAAAACGTCAGTATTAGTGTACATGACATTAAAGCCAGAATTTGTTCTCGCAACGTTCCTGCTCTTAGTAGTAACCCCGCCCCCCCTCCCCTATATTCTCCTGCAGTATTTGCTAAGTACACTGGATTTTGCACAATGACACACTATGGAAGGCCAGACGAATGTTGGCCCTATGGAAGCTACGTGAACACCTCGAGTGTTATTAACAGGGAGTAATAGTTCTTCCACCACATACCTTCCTGAGGTGACCAGACAACAGAAAACGACAGGAAATTCAAGTATAAATGAAG